CGGTATAGACTGGTTGAAGCTAAAAGTAATGACACTTTAGTGGCTAAATTTAAGGTAACCAAACCATTAAGACTGTTTGCTTCTTAGTAGTGATCTTTCTCTCTCTTTTAAAAATCAGGTTTAGTTTTCAGTTTAGTTTTTTTTTCTCCATACCTTGAAGTATTATTTCAAACATTTCCATTTCCACACTCACCATCTTTCTTTCTTTCTTTTTTTTTTTTGCAAACATTTTTAAATTCCTGAAATTAGTTCCTTACCATGGCAGACACTGAATTAATTTTTTTCTGAATTATTTGAACATTAAATGTAACACAGATCATTTGCAATAGTACCATTTATCCTCTCTAATGACCGTGTAAAAGAATCTTACATTTTTTATTTTGCAGAGATACTTGAGGAAAACATACGGCATGAGAATCAGTAGGTAATTTAGTCATATTGCCCTTATCCCTGATCCATGACATTTTTCCCCTTCTAAAAACAACCAGTAAAGACCTTCACCCCAACACTATGCACCCAAGAGTAATTCAGAGGGACCATTGCTTCACAGTCCTACGTTTCTAAATTGATTTGTGAAAAATTATGATTCTATATTTAAACATCTTCTTTTTAGTCAGACTCCCTCACAACAAATATGTAATATGCGATGAATTTTCTGAAAGTGCAGGTATACTGTAGAAGAACAAGCATTTAAGTATTTATTTTGTGTAAAAAGTGACAAAAAAAAGAAGCTTGTCACTTTAGCAATTCAGTTATTCTCTTGTATTACACAATGAAAAGACTTTCCAGAAGACCTTTGGAAGGGAAATGCTCACTCTCTTGCAAATACCCCATTTTCCCCCAAGTCTATCCAATTTACATATATAATATATATATATATATATTTTTCCCCCCCTAATTTCAATAGCTCAAACTCTGAGCTATTTTTAGTTCAAAGTCTTCTCCTAATGACACTGTAATAGATTTTAGTTGATCTACTTTAGGGATGAAGATACTGAGGAGCAGAAGTGTTAAATTGCTGATTTAAGATCACAATCTTATACATTGGAGGGACTGGGAAGCAGGATTCTGATTTGGGTATCTCTAACTTCGGAGTTTAAGCCCTTAACTCATATTGCAACTTGTCTTTCTTATCTCTGTTATCTTACAAAAAGTCTAAAACTGTGTTTTCTGTAACTTATATTTTATGATTTTTAGTTTTTCCTACTGTTTTCTCACTATCCACTCTCTACTCTTTCATTCTTTCTCTCTAGAGCAATATTCTCCTAAAATCTCTTTTATTGATAACCTTTCTAATCACTAGGTACAGCATGGGGGTTTCTTAGTTCTCCAGCTTTAATCATAGAACATTTACTTCCATTGGCAATCTCTATGTGAAAACCCTCTCATTTCTTTAACTCCAGGACACTTCACTCTCAGTAGTGCTTTCTTCTTGCTTTTCTATTGTGTGTCTGTTGCTTTACTGCTCTTTTCCATACTCCAAATTCCTGAATATGGACATCTACTGAGCATCACTAGCCCTAATACGGTTGATTATCCATTCCATTATAGGCATCACCTATTATGAGTTATAGCTATTACCTCCATGTGACTGATGTTCCCTTCATCATAACTAAGTTCCATTTCCATGTCCAATCAGTGCCTCTAACTACCAACAATCTATTAAAGATAATGCTAGCAAATTAATGTTTTAAAAATGGATTTGTTTTCCTAACTTTTTTTCCTCCTGCTATTAATTGCCTAAAAAGTCCTTTGATGTCAGTCCATAAATCAAAAAACCAGGCTCAAAATATTAGTATAAAATGAGAGGAAAGAAGACTTCCTCCCCTGAATCTAGAAAATTAGATCCTGTTGTGTGTGTGTGTGTGTGTGTGTGTGTGTGTGTGTGTGTTTTTCCTTAAAAATGACCTTCTCTGTGTCTCCCTAGTGAATTAAGCACTCTTATTAGATTCTTACCTCTTGACATCTTAGATAGTATATGAGTTGCCAAGGAGTTTGTCCTGAATCCAAACTTTTTTGCATGTTAATGCTTTTGCATTGTGATATTTCACAAATTGTTCGTTAAGTCTCACTCTAGTTGCCACTTACTTTCTGGTCTCCAACAAGACTTCATACTACCTATTCCATCTTATTTTGCCATTTCATCTCTTTACAATTTTTCATTCCATCCAGAAGAATATCCCTTGTACCCTTTCCTAACGAATCGTATCCTGATGCTTTAAAAGAAAGTAGTAACAGAAAAGTTAAATTTTAATATTGGTCAATTCAAAGACATCTAACCTTGGGAATTTGTTTAACCCTTCTAAGTTTTGGTTCATTTGGTTTTTGTTTGCTTTGTGTTATTTTTATTTTTTGTTTTGGCTTTGCTGTAATAAATCCGACCCCCTCTTTGATGGATTGAGTCATGCTTAAATGAAATAATGTTTGGAGAAAAAATACTTAGTAAAGATCTGTAATTTATGAGAGGTCATTATATAATGCCTTTTCTTGTTTATACTTTTTAACTGATGCCTCTCTTTGGAACTTTAAAGCAGGGATCATAAGTTACATGTCATCTGTATCACCAGCAAATCCTATTACAATGCTTGGTATATATTTAGTTTTCAATAATTTTTTGGTAACTCTATATTTCTTAATAATCTATTGCTTTGTCTTTTATTGTACATACATGAAAGAATTCTGGGTCACATGCAATGGTTGTATTTTATTTCTCCTTGTTCAGTTTTGTCTATATCAGTCTGTTATTATTTCTTTCATTTAAATCTTCTGCTTCTATCTTTTTAAAAACAAGATGCATGTTGTAATATATATATTTAAAAATAGATATTGAGTCAGAAAATATGCTCTGAAAATACTTATTTGCCACCAGCAATTAATTATTAAGCAAGTCACTTAGACAGTAGTTTCTTTGTATCCACAGGGTATGTGTTTCAAGACTCTCAGTGAATGCCAGAAATCCAGAATAGTACCACATTCTATATATACCATATTTGCTTCCAGTACATACCTATGATAAGGTTTAACTTGTAAATTAGACACAGTAAGAGATTAGCAAGAATAACTAATAATAAAATAGAACAATTATAACAATATACTATAATAAATGTTATTTAAATGTAGTTTTACTCTTTCCCGTTCTCTCTTAAAATCCTGTAATATTTTTGGATTGCATTTGGCCTTGGGTAATTGAAAGGGCAAAAAGTAAAACTACAGATAGGGTGGGATTAGTGTAATAATTGTGGTTCCATCACTAGAGTCCTAAAATGACAATGAGCTTTGTTCTGTCTTCTAATATGATGGAGATAAATGCTCATTCTAAATAGCTAGAAGTCATAGGCATTAGGGTTATCAATTAACATTAAGTAATCCTGCACAGTGACTTGATGAACAGCCACTGTTGTTTTTATACTGACATAACTATTTCCAAAATTCTGTGAAAGCATCCTCATGGATATTCTTCTGACAGAAATAGCCTAGAACACTAGGCTGCAGAGTTCTAGTGGACATTGAATCCTCCTGTGTCCTCTATTGATAATGGGCTGTACCATGATAATGGGCTGCATCCTAGAACACTAGGATGCAGAGTTCTAGTGGACATTGAATCCTCATGTGTCCTCTATTGTTAATGGGCTGTACCACACAATAACAATTCCTTTATTTTGTTCCCTTTGTATGTAGAGATGTATCTTATATCACTACTACTGCATTAGTAATACTTGCTTTTTTAAATTGTTTACCACACTCATTAAAAACTGACATACATGTGGATAGAAATCTTATCTTGGAATACTATATACCCTAAGCAGTGGTAAAGTATATGTGTTGTATTATCTGAGAACATTCTATTCCGGTACAGAACACAAGATAAACTAAACAGATGAAACTTATGAGATGAATTAAGTATAGACAGTGAATGAACTAGTATTATATGTTCTATATGTAAAATACATGACATTTGTTAAGTTTAGATGTCAAGACCAAGCAGATAGTTTGTGAAACAAAAGCAGCATCATAAGTTACAGTGATTACAGGTAGTAGGTAAGTTGTATGAGACGGCAGGTCATGTTAAAGATCATGTTAAAGATAGATATATTGAATAAATGATAGAATAAACAGAATTGTTATTTCTAGATGAAAAGGGATGGGAAAAGTAAGTCATAAAGTATGAAAGCACCATATCTAGAATGATTGCTATATTATACAAAATTAGCAGCTCATAAATGACACCTATTCTAATTCCATTCTGACTCCATCTATTCTCAGCATAAGAAATACAGGTAAAACCCATAGGAGTCCAGTAGTCTTACTTATCACTGAGTTAGAGCTGATGCTGCAGGTATGTATGTAATGTTGTGTGTTGAACAGAGCCAATGTGTTGGCCCCAGGTCTCTTCCTCCCATTGAATCCCTTGCTCAAACCTCAACCCTGGTGCTTTCACTGACACCGTCAGCACAGAAACAGAGCTTATGGATATTGCATAATCCTGGGTTCAGATACTGTGGGCCTTCCTTACCACTTGCAAAAGTATTCTATGTGTGTTTACCAATCTTCTCTTTGCTGTTGTTTTTTTAATTCTTTTTCTTTTTCTTTTCTTCTCACTGTATATTTTAAATGGACTAAATTAACCATGTGATTTGTGAACTAAATTAACCATGTGATTCGTGAATCTTAATTTGTTCTATGAGCCTTTCTGTTTAAAAGCCTTTAGCATAAGCTTATTCGGTAGTGTACTAGGAGGCTACCATTGCATCTACAAAGTTGCCTACAAGATAGCAGTTATAAATCATCTCAAAATTACCAATAAAAGCATTTTGAATTCTATGGAATTTAACTACATGAAATTGTTTCTGCCTGTAACAAATATATTAGTTTGCCTCAACTTCTAGTCTTTCTCTTTGACTAATGAATGAACTTGATTTTACTGCTTGATTTTTACGCCTATATTTTCTTTATATCTCTCTCTCTCCCCCTCTTTTTTTTTTTTTTTTTTAGGTTTAACTATGTCTGTCTTCAATGGCAGTCATTATCAGCCACCCTTCTTCCTTCTTTCAGGAATCCCAGGGCTGGAGGATGCTCATTTCTGGCTCTCCATCCCATTGAGCATAATGTATGTGATTTCTATCCTGGGGAACAGCATCATTATTCACATAATACACAAGAATCCCAGCCTTCATGAGCCTCAATATGTATTCTTGTCCATGTTGGCAGCCTCCGATACAGGTGTGTCAGCATCTACACTACCCACAGTACTTAATGTATTTCTTCTCAACCACCAAGAAATCGAGTTTCATTGCTGCCTGGCCCAGATGTCCTTCATCCACACTTTCTCTTCCATGGAGTCTGCCATCCTGCTGGCTATGGCCTTTGACCGCTTTGTGGCCATACACAACCCACTGCGCTACACTGTGATCCTCAGCCAGTCCCGCATTACTCGGATAGGATTGGCTGCTCTGGTTCGGGGAGTAGCTCTGATGGCCCCCTTGCCCATCCTGCTCAAAAGGCTCCCCTTTTGTAAGAACATCATCTTATCCCACTCATTCTGCTTCCACCCTGATGTGATGAAGCTAGCTTGTGGGTCTATTCGTGTCAATATAATCTATGGGTTGGCTTTGGTCCTTTGCTCCTTTGGTGTTGACTCTGTCTTTATTGTTATGTCTTATGCGCTGATCTTGAAGATGGTCCTGGGCATTACGTCTGGGGAGGGACGTCTTAAGGCACTCAACACTTATGTTTCCCATATTCTCACTGTCCTTATTTTCTATGTCCCACTTATTGCCTTAGCCCTAATCCACAGGATAGGTAGGTACCATTCCCTTCTCCCCCATGTGATCATGTCCAATATTATTCTTATCCTCACACCAGTCCTCAACCCATTGGTTTATAGTATGAAAACAAAACAGATTAGAAGTGTGCTGTGTAGACTGTTTGCACCTAAGGTAAAATGAAAAAGTCTGAGTGGAGCTCTTTGAGAAACTGATTCAGAGGTACTAGGCATATTGAAAAAAGTAGGAGGTATAAACAGTCTTTACCTGCATACTAAAGGTGTTCCTTTGGCACACCTCTGCATAGTTTTACCATAGCCTTTCTGGAAATAGGAAATTCTCTTCTAGCATGAAGCCTCATGCACCTTCATTTTAGGATTTTCATTCTTAGAGTTTATACCATTACCTCTGGGTCCCATTTTAATCCAATCAGCCTTACAAAAATTTTCTGTGTGACAACTACTCATATATGGGTATATGGCTAAAATCTGATTAAAAATAAAATATTTGACTTGTTCTGCAGGTATTTATTACCATTAAAAAGTTGGGATATATTAGGGAAAGATTTTTCAAATGAAAGAAAAGAAGGCTTTTTATAATTTTTATTTAAATCTGTTTACATTTTTTCATCATATTATAAGCCAGAAATATGATAGAGGGTAAGAGTCAAGTCAGCATTTAAAGTTAAACACAAAAGAATAAAGTCTGTTATTAAAATGGTGATACCAAAGATGACAGTAAAACCACAATGCTTATCCAATTCTAATATATATTTAGAGTTCTCTTATTATATATTTTTCCTAAAATGCATGTGGTTGAAAATGTGTAAAAGGGTTCAGACTAGTATATATTGTAATTGTTTATAGTATATATCATATTTGTCTGTTTAATATTATAATGACAGAACAGGGAGACATACCACATTCTTTACAAATATTGATAATACCTCCAAACTAACTCCACAAGGCAGAGCCAGACATTATTATTTTATCAATGCCTACATGCTATGTGGGCATTAATTTATTAATTCAGTGGTTATGTATAATCCTTCTTAATTTTTACCTTCTGTCCTTTGTTTCTCACATTTTCCCCTGTTCCTCTTTCTTTTACAACTTTACATAATTTTCCTGAGCAATAATTGCATGCTGTATTTTAGGGGATAAATTAATCAAACAAAATTCCATAATTTAGAGGATTATTACTGAGTGAATGATATGAGAAAGTACACTTGTCATATTGTAAGTTAAAAATTAAATAAGTGGTCAAATCTACCTAAACAGAACTTGCCCTTAAGCTGCCACATTAAATAGCAGAAAAGTCACAAATTCAAGGAAAGTATTTTAGGAAGTCAAATTCAGTGTTAAGGACTTACTATGATTATGTCTGTTTCTTTTTGAAGGACTTACTATAATTATGTCTCTGTTTCTGTTTGCTTCTATTTTATTTTGTATTTATTTTTTCACAATTTTCGCATATATTTTAGTTGCTGCATAAGTACAAAAGAGGATGACTGCAAGTGGTTTAGTATCTTTCCAGTATTGTAATAAAAACAGAAAGGAAAACCTTTCACACTAGTTCTAGCATAAAACATGAAGAGAGAAACATTTTATCCAGTTTTTAACTTCTGTAGCTGAAAGTTCACAAAGGAATTTATTAGAATATTGATATTATTGATCTCACCCAAACTGTACAAAGAAGGAAATAATTTCTCATAGGAAAACTGTCTACTGTCTTCAAAATAAAATGAAGCACTTGCTAAGGAATGATCCTTAGTTATCTATATTTATGCATGGAGGAAATCAGAGTCAAGAGGCTTCTGACCAGAAGAAAAATCATAAAAATAATGATTAGATTGACCCAGAAAAGATGAAAAATAACCTAAGAGCTAGAATTTTATTTCATATTTTTTGGAAGTGTTCATTATACTGAAATGGCCTCTCATTTAGAGCAAAGAAGATACTTTGGAAAAAAAATCTTCTCCATCTTAATACCTAATAGTTGGTTAAGTTAATACTTTTGGAATGGAGACAGATTTGAATTGTTTATGACTTTTATTCATGGGCTTTTCCATCTCTTAAGAAGTTTTTAAGGAGCTCAGCCCTCACTCTCTTACTTTTGTCTACATTTCTATAGCAATTTAAATTAAGTGTCAACACCACTCATTGTATTCTGTTACATTATTTTGCTACTGTTCTACAGTTCTCATTAGTAGAATGAAAACAACGCAAATATTATAATTATGTCTTCTGTATGTCTCTGATGTCTACACAATGTGTCAGATGAATATTAACATATATTTTGATTCTTTACTTGAGCAATTAATTAAAATCCATTTACATGTTTATTTAATACCATGGGCAATCAAGTACCTCTCTTTCACTTGCCTCCGACCTTGATCCCAGAAGGATAATTCTTCATTTGCTTATGACTAAACATTTGAAAGAATTGGCCCCAGAAGAGAGTAAACTAATTCATTTTTCCTTTTTGGGAAGTTAAAGAAGAGAGATGGATCCTTGTTTCAGAAGCCAGTGTATAAGCATATCTATATTCTCAATATGAAAATATAAACTAAACAATATCTGAATGAAGAATGAATTCTGAAAGAAGTAACAAGATGAGTAACTATTTTTCAGACTTCTATAAAATACTCATTTTCAGACAGCTCCTTTGTCTTTTGTTAATATTTAGAATACTGAGAACACCAAACAATATCCAACTGCAAGAAACAGAAATATATTAATCATTATTTTTGATTTTTAAATGCCCCAACATAAGCAATACCAGAAATCAGGAATCCAGGTGACATGCGGTTTCTCTATAAAACCAGTCCCTCATTGCTCTTTTATGATCAGCTGGGATAATCTGATTGTCATCCAACTCTTACACCAACAACACGAGTTTGAGTTCCCATTGCCGTTTCTTCTTATTGCTACCAAACAACCACCACTCATGATCACAGATGTAATCATTTATTTAAGCATTCTGCCTCTCTTTCCCTAGTTTATAAACTTCTTGAGGAATGAACCTAAGCTTTTTTTTTTTTTCTTTTTTGTGTTCATGGCTCCTAGGATATTACCTGACACATAATAGATCCTGAATAACATTATTTAATTGATAGACTCTTCTGATACAGAGAAAAATCTCATTCTCCAGCAACAACACGTTGCACCCAAAATCGCTTGTGCAAGGCAGACTGGATCTGACGGGATTTGAGACTGTAAATGAGAGGGTTTAACAGTGGTATCAACAGGAGGTAGGTATTACTCATGGTGGTATATAAAAGTGGGGAAGTTTCCTGGGTGTAACGATGCAGTACTGCAAGACTGATGAGGGGCATGTAAAACACAAGCACTGTGCACAGGTGGCAGGCACACGTTTGCAGTGACTTCCAATTTCTGTCTTGGCTCCCCAGTTTTATAATAGTGTTTAAAATCTTTATGTATGAAGCTAAGATGAAGACAGCATCCACTGCAAAAGTGCACAGTACACAGACTAACCCATAGACACTGCTGAAAGTGACATCCCCACAGGCCAGGTTCAACATATCTGGGTAGTAACAATAAGAGTGTGAGAGGATATTGACCCCACAGAAAGGAAAGGTCCTGAGGAAAAAAGGCAGAGGGGCCAGTAGAGTGGCACCTTGGACAAGAGCAGCTCCACTAAGGCAAGCAACAGTTTAGTGGGTCAGGATCCTGGTATAGTTTAGTGGAGCACAAATAGCCACCAAGCGGTCAAAAGCCATAGCTACCAGGACACCAGATTCTACTGAGGAAAGTGTATGGATGAAGAACATTTGGGTCAGGCAGCCATCCAGGCCAATGTTGTGGACATCAAACAGGAAGATAGCCAGGACACTAGGCATTGTGGATAATGAAAGGCCTAGGTCAGTAAGAGCTAGCATGGCTAAAAAATAGAACTGGGGTTCATGAAGATTCTGTTCTGCTCTAACTAAGATAAGGAGAAGAACATTACCCACAAGGGCCACCAGGTACAAAAGACAGAAGGGGAGGGAGATCCATGTATGTGCAGCCTCCAGACCAGGGATACCAATGAAGGAAAACGTGGGCTAGTTAGTAGAGGTGTTCTTAAAAGCCAACATGATGAGAGGTATGTAGGACTTCTTGTCTAGGATGCTTGCAAACCTATTAAAGAGAAATTGTACATTAGAAAAGTTGTGAACAAAATTTGAATTTAAAAAATGGTTCAAACTTGGAGTTATAAAATTGCAATATAGGTCAAGAACGGTAGCTCATACTTGTGATATCAGCATTTTGGGAGGTTGAGGTGAGAAAATTACTTAAGGCCAGGAGTTTGAGACCAGCCTGGGAAACAAAATGAGATTACATCTCCACAAAAAGCACACACCAAAAAAACAGCTGAATGTGGTTGCACATGCCTGTAGTCTCAGCAACTCGGGAGACTGAAGCAGGGGGATTCTTTGAGTCTAGGAGTTCAAAACTACGGTGAACCTTGATGGCGCCATTGCACTCCAGCCTGATGGCAGAGTGAAACTTTGTCTCAAAAAAGTAAAATAAAATAAAATAATACAAATAACTCAAAAATTGGGTTTATACTTTTTATAATAAGTTCCTTTGACTTATGAATGGAAACTAAGTACATAAAAAGATGCTTAATATCATTATTTATTAGAAAATGCAAATGAGAGTTACAATAAGACACCATTTGAATGGTTAGCGTTAAAAAGACTAAAAATATAATTTTTTGTGTGTGATGATGTGGAACAACTGAAACTCTTACACAGGCATGCCTCAGAGATATTGAAGGTTCAAGATGACTGCAATAAAATGAATGTCACAATAAAACAAATCACATATTTTTTTTGGTTTCCCAGTGCATATAAAAGTTATGGCTAATACCACACTATAGTCTATTAAGTGTGCAATTGCATTATGTTTAAATGATAATGTATGAGGGGGGACCCAAAAATCCCCAGAATTTTCTTTTGAAGGGTGGGCCCCTTGTAACATAGGCTTCCCCGACTAGATAAGTGTTTTAGGAATCCATTAGCATCAGTGTACCAACTGACAATGCTGTGAGAGATGATTTGCAGAAGAAACATCCCGTGTTGTGTCAAACAGGTGACTGGTTCTTTCACCATGACAATGCACCTGCCCACACCAACTGAGTGTTCAGCAGTTTTTGACCCAAACCAGCATGATCCC